CAAGTTACTTAACCTGTCAGGGCTCTAGGCAACTCTAAGGCTAAGCTGCAGAGGAAGTGTTGACTTGCATTGGTATGGGAAATTTCCTCTCCACCCCAAGTTGCTCAAATCAATGAAATCACAGGTCTCCTTGATGTGTGATTATGTTGCTTGTAAACATCTAAGTACATTTTAGAGTGACTTTCTAAACTTTGTCTTTTTCTCTATTTTTTGAAAAGCTGTTACTTTTGTTACTTTTATTTTCACTTTAACAAATTTATAGTGGAAACCTTTTTGATATGGTCATAGTTCCACTTCAGTGAAAAGCAGAAGATATTTTTTCTAGGTGGACAGCATGATGTAATAGAAACTATTCTGAGAATCAGGTATTTAAAGTTTTAATTTTGTTTTCACAATTGACTAGCAGGCATTTTACTTTACTGAATTTCCCCATCTGTAAAATGAATGAGTTAGACTAACTGATCTCTTAGTTCTCTTTCCAGCCTTGAAATTCTATTTCTCTCAAATTCTGACTAATTGGAATTCCATAGCCCAGTGATATCATTTTTGACCTAATATTTATTCTCATTTTCTAAGGTGGCAGATAAATCACTAGACATTGAGGAATAGCATCAATTGATCAGATTTTTATTAAGTCAGTCAATACTTAACAAGCATTAACTACTTACTCTACATCAGACACTATGCTAAGTACTGGGGATGTAAAGAAAGACCAAAAAACCAGTTCCTGCTCTCAAGGAGCTTACAGTTCAGGGAAACAATATGCAAACAGCTGTGTAGAAACAGGATATATACAGGGTAAATTGGAAATAATCTCAGAGGGAATGTACTTAGATTAAGGAGGGCTGGGGAAGGCTTTTTGTTCAAGACAGGACTGGTTGAGACTTGAAGGAAACCACATCTGTATTGTCCAATTTGGGGAGTGGCAAGGAGGCCAGAGCCATTGGATCAAAGAGTACATATGAGAGGATTGGAAAATTAGGAAAAGTCCAGGTTATAGAGGCCTTTAAAAGCCAAACAGGAGAATTTATATTAAGGCTTTGTACTTGGTCCTCAATACTGTATTAGGCACTTTGAAGATTACCAAAGAATCATAAGACGTGAACCCTACAAGGAGCTTTTAATCTGGTTAGGGGAAGACAGTACCACCACACGACACCATTATTTCAGTTGAAGCATTTATTCTGTATTAGTTGCCAGGGATACAAAGACAAAATTTAGATTCTGTTAGAGTAGGAAACAAATAAGCACTGAATGTATGAATGATTATGAATACAAGGGAATCTAAGGAGATGGAATTTATTTGGGATGAATTTAAGACTTAAAGTAAGGTTCAAGGAATGGACTTCACAAGTATAAAATGGAGAAGGCATGGTTCGGCAGCCGTTTGTCTGAAAAGGATGTGGAAATCTTAGTGTACAAACTTAGTGTGTGTCAGCGTTATTGTATGTGTGATGAGAACCAAAAATGCCCACTTGAATTGCATTAAGAGAAGCATACTTTCTAGGAATCAAGAGGTGATAGTCTTCCTGTACTCTGCTCAGGACAGGTAAATCTAGAGTTTTGTGTTTAGTTCTGGGCACTATAATGTAGGGAAGGATATGAAAAAGCTGAAAAGTGTTGAAAAGCACCTGGATAATGAAAGGCCTTGATATCATGCCATGTGGGTACTGATTGAAGAAATTGGGGATATCTGGCTTGGAGGAGAGAAGATTTACTGAGGACATACATGATAGTTGTCTTAGGGGTTAGATTTGTTCTGTTTAGCATCAGAAAATAAATCTAGAGGTCCTGGTTGGAAGTTGTGAAGAAGAAACTTGATTTGATGTAAAGAAAAAAGTTCTCACAATTCAAATTATCTTAAAGTGAAATGTGCTCAGAAGGTAGTGAGCTCTCCTTCTTAGGAGACCTTCAAATAAAAACTGAACAATTACTTGTTAGTTATTTATAGAGAGAAGGGATGGATTGTAAATGACCTCTGAGTTGTCTTCCAACTCAATAGTTCTATGAAGTTCAGAGGAGAGAAATATTGGAGTAGGCTGAATTAATTTAGAGAGCTACACTTGAACTGTACTGTAAAGATGGTAAAACCGTAGAGGACATATCTGTTTTACCTGTCCTCGAATCAGGTGGGCCATCTAGATTTCTTAATTCAATTACAAGAGAGGCGGCCTGGTTAGTGGATAGTAGCTGGCCTCAGAGTCAGAGTTTAAGTCTACCCTGTGACTGGCTTTGTGACTCTAGACAATCTGTCTTAACCTGTTGGTTCCCTGGTGCAATTCTCTAAGACTGTATGTTGCAGGAAAGACAGCTGACTGCTCTGATAGAGGGAGTTCTAAATCTAATAAGTGTGGTTTAATTCATTAACAAACATTTATTGGTGACTTTTCATGTTCAGAGCACTGTGTTAGTGCCAAAGTGGGGGGGAGGGGATACATGTTAAGGTAAGATATGGGCACTGGCCTCCTGGAGTTGACAGGTTGGTGTCATTTTGATAGTAGAATGCCCAAAGTGAGCAGTGATGACCTTTTGATTCACGTGACAATTTGTACCTCTCTAATTGTATTTCTTTCCTACCGTATATTATGGCTATCTGTGTTTGGGTCATTCTTTTACTAGATGAGAAGCTCCTTGAAGGGACTGTCTTCATCCACGCTTTGCATCTCCTCTAGTGCCAAATGCAGTTCTCTGAAAGAGAGTAGGAACTTGATAAATTTTGAATGAATGTATGTTTGTCTGATAGTCACTTTCTCTTGCTCTTTCCGTTCGTGTTTTATGGAGTTCTGAACAGGTGCCATTGCTTGGCAGCCTTACCAATTGTCTGTATTGTTCAAGCTGGAGGCAGCTGTTCATAAAGTGATTTTCCTGTGTGTGTAATTCATAGGAAACAAGACTACAGGAGTTTGGGACTCCTGGCCTTGTCAGTCAGAAGAGACTTCTCTATTTTGAGTATCCAGTTGCATCCCTTTCTGTTAGATAGAAGGGGATCTTGACAGAGGATAGAAATTGTGGAAGGGCAGATGACTCAGGCAGGAGAATTAGGGTCCAAGTCCTAACTGCCATTTACTGTATGACCTTGGACAAATCATCTTACATTTCTGAAGCTCTGTTTTCTTATGGAAGAATTGGACTGGATGATTTCTAAAATCCCTTCCGGTTCAGAGATTCCATGACTTTTCTAAGCAAAAGTAGGTACAGTACAGGGTGCTGGGTCTGGAGCCCATAAGACCCGAGTTCAAATCCGGTTTCAGACACTTGCTAACTAAATGACCCTGGGGCAAGTCACAACCTGTTTGTCTTAATTCTACTGGAGAAGGAAATGGCAAACCACTCCAGTATCTTTACCAAGAAAACTCCATGGACAGTAGTGTCCATGGGGTCATGAAGAGTCGGACACAACTGAATGAAAACACCACAGTAACAACAACCAACAACAACACTATATCAAAGAGTTTAGTGTGTGTCATAAGTCATGCCTGACACTGGATTGTGGACAGTACAAAACTAGCTATTTAGATATATAAACTCTGTGTGTGTATCAGTCATTCAACAAGCATTTACAAAGTGTTTACTATGTTCTGGCACTGGAGGCAGAAAGACAAAAAGCAAAAACAGTCCCTACTCTTTGGGAGCTTGTATTTTTATAGGGGAGACAACATGTATACATAAAGGTACATATAAAATACATGCAGACAAGGTGGAAGTAGCAGGGAAGGCACTAACATCTGGGGGAGCTGAGAAAGACCTTTTCCAGAAGGTGGCATTTAAGCTGAGTCTTGAAGGAAACTTCGGATCCTCAGAGGGAAAGGATTCCAGGAATGGGGGGAGGGAGGGGTAGCCAGGGCAATGGCAAGGAGCAAGGAGAATAGAAAACATTGTGTTCAGAAAGTTAGCAAGGAAGCCAGGAGAGTCATATGGAAGAATACTGGAAAGAGAGAAAGTGGCCAGGTTGTGAAGAGCTTTATATACTCAGACCTACAGTTCATAGGTGAGTTGTCATGGATCAGTAAAGAAAGTAGTATTTTTTTTCCCCTTCCTCGCTTATTTAAATGGAAACAGATATGAAGGAACATAAGGCATTTAATAATAACAATAGCTGGCATTTATATTCCATTTTAAAGTTTGCAAAGTGCTTTATTTTTTTGAACTTTACAAAAACCCTGTTAGGTAGATCCTAGAGGTATCATTATTTCCATTTTACACATGATCAAATTGAGGCCTAGATAGTTTAGGTGATTTGCCTATGGTCACACAGCTAGTAAGAGTAAAAGAAATGATTGTAACTTAGGTCTTATAGACACCAGGCCCAGAACTCTTACCCACTCTGGCATGATGTAACGTAAAGAGAACTAGAGTTAGAGTAAGTTGAAATCATGGTTTTGCTACTACCTGTGTGACCTGGGACAAGTCATTTAACCTTGTAATCCCCTGCCACTGTTCCCTCTTATGTAAAAGGGTGAAATTGAGTCGAATGATATGAGGATTTTTCTCATCTTTAAACCCAGGTTCCAAGTAAATCCACTTCTAAGGCAAATGTAATATTTTGTTCTTAGGTAGAGCTTCTTAACCCAAGGTTCACAGACACCCAAAGGAGGTTGGTAGATAGGATTCTGGGAGATGGGGAGGGAGGGGGGGTGTTTGTGAACTTAGATGGAGGAAAAATGCATCTTTATTTTCACTAACTTCTAACTGAAATTTAGCATTTCTTCAATTATAATGTAAGCAAATTAGAAATAGTAGTCTGAGGAGGATATAGGTTTTTCCCCAGACCCTCAGAAGGCTCCATGACACAAAAAGGGTTAAAAAAAAAAGCCCCTGCTCTAAGATAAATAAGTGTTCTTACATTTTTTCTTACTATTAAAAAAGCCTGTGCATCACTGGTGGTGGCTGTCATGAGTACTGTTGTTAATGAAGAAGTTTGGAAATAGTGGAGGGTAAAAGGGGAGAAAAGCATTGCCTTGGACTTGATGCCTTCTGATGTATTTTCTTTATCTCCCTAGGTTTGGAAGGCATTTTGAATCTCCTCTTCTGTGGCAAAGCATTGTTATGATCTTTACTATGTTACTGATGTTGAAACTCTGTACTGAAGTTCGAGTGACAAATGAGCTGAATTTAAAACGTCGTTCCTTTGCAGGTTGGTGATTAATAACTAGTTATTGTATTTATATACAAGAATCATCCTAAATTAGCATATAAAACATGCCTCATTGTCATCCGGATTACATAAGAGCTGTTATATGTCTTCATACTCCTTATGATCACCTGCAATTGATGCTAGAAGGCTAATTTCCAATCACTAACTTAAAAAGTAGGTTGAATATTGGCTAAAGCTAACATCTCTTCAAAGCACAATTATGTCCAAATTCTGGGAAGTTCAGCATGACATGTAGCACTAACTGTAACCTTTGTTTCATTGCAAATTCAGGACTAGAAGAGGGAATGTATTACTTTTCTACTGTTTTCTGGGCAGGCTTCTAGGTCAGCAAAGGTTGTTGACCAGGCAGACTAAGGAATGATGACTTAATATCTCACTAACCTCAAGTGGAACTTTTAAATAAAGTACTTCATTGAAATCTTACCATTGTTCTCGTGATGACTGTTTAGCTTCTGTAAATACAGTCTGATTTTCTGCTTGTAGGTTAATGTATTCTGTGTATACAGGCAAATTCATGGTTAAATTGGAGCTAGGGCTAGCCATTTATTTATTTTTTTGGACTATGGTTTTACACATAGCAGGAGCACCTGGTAAGAATCTTCCTTTACCAAAGTGTATTGGCACCTGTTCTGCAAACTTATTATAGGAGCAGGGGTTCTTAATCTTGTGTCTGTGAACTTGTTTTAAAAAATATTTTGATATCTATACTTTAGTGTGACTGGTTTCCATAATCTACATATTATATGCATTTTTTAAAACATTAGGCTTCATCAGACTGCCAGAAGGGTACATGATACACAAAAAATTTAAGAACCTCTGTTTTAAAGAGAGCTTGGGGTATGAGAGGTTAATTGACTTGCCTAGGGTCCTATAGGCAGCATGTGTGTCAGAAGCTGGATTTTAACTTGGGTCTTCCTAACTACAAGGCTTCAGGGCTAGTTACAGGTTTTAAAATTTTAACTTTAGCAAATTATTGCTACTGTTGTAATCTTGTAAGTGGAAGGCACTTCTATTTTTCTGTATGAGAAATCTTGGCTTCTCCTGTGGAGTTACTAAAAAGTCTAGGCTGGCTTTTCTGACACTTGTAGACTACTGTCTTTATTGATCCCTTCTATGTTTTTGCCATGATCTGAGATTTTTTTCTCATACGATATGGATCTTAGGTTTTAGATGTCTTCGGTAGTAAGCCAACTCTTCATCTAGTGTATTCCTTCTCCTACAGATTTGAGCTATATGAAGCATTTATCAGTTTGGAATTGTCTGGGGTGACCTTCTGCCTGGCTGTCTCTTAATTTCTATTCCTGACATTCCTGGTCTCTTCAGTAGACCTCACTCTTTACTTTTTTTCTTTCTTTCCATGCTTCTGTTTTTCAATTAAGAGAAATCTTTGGTCAGCCTAAGCTGACACAGTTTTAGTGGAAGATGGGTTAGATACTTTCTGAATTCAGTGTCCTTAGAACTATTAATGATGGTAATGATTGTCATTATTTCCCTGTAATGTTTTCTTCTGGCTTCCAGTAAGCAGCCTCTTTTTTTTTTAAATAGTGATTTTTGTTTAAAGTTATACAAGATGAAAATAAGGTCAGCCTTATCATGTCACATTTCTATGAAGCAAGCAAGGATATTAATAAAGGGTGGATGAAGCTTATAATCTTTCAAGTGACTTATGCTTTTAAATCTTTGCCTTGATAATTTTGATTTTCCTCATGGGCTTCCATTCTCCCCCCATCTTTTTTTTTTCCATTTCAACCTGTTCCATGACCTTTGTGGACTTTGCCCAGGATCCACTAGGTTCTCAGCCAGAAGTCATGTAACTGCCTGAAATATGATCAGGTTGTCCATTAGCAGGGCACAGGGGAGCTTCTCCCCTTGTATTAGTCATCACCATGGAAAATAACACAAAAGCCTTAGTTCTGTTTTTACCCAATGATACGATTTAAATTGTTTGCTGTTCATGTTGCACACTGTCTGAAATGATTAGAAACAGGCTCTCATTACCTTTATCTGAAACAGCGTCCATGGTTTAATTGTTTAAAAAAAAAAGTGAGGTAACCAAAGAAGCAGGTTTCTGAAACTAAATAGAATGTAGCAAAATTGACTACAAAATAGCTATAGAATACAACCACAAAATGTAGCAAATGTAGCAAAATATCTTTACTGAACTGCTTGAATGCTGCAGGAGAGCCTTAGCCCCAAGTGTTGATTGCCCCTTGTACACTTGTTTGAAACTTGGCATGTTTTTCAGCTAGCTGCTTCTAGGCAACAAAGCTAGACATGAAAGAAGGGAGAGGAGATGACTTGATGTTTGTAAAGTGGTGTGTCTTCTTTCTCGTTTTCTCTTAGCAGAAGAGATTGTTGAAAAAAATATGTAACAAGAAATAAGGTGATTGTCTATACCAAACTTAATTTTTATCACTCACTTGCTGCTTCAGAAATACTTCTATAAAGAAGAGGTGTGGTGTTTTGATTCAAAACAAAAACTAACATTGTTGATTTATCTTTGTTGACAGGTGTACTGTCAAATACTGATCTAGATATATTCAGGACTGCTGTGACAGATATAAGTCACTCAATCATAAGCAGCTATAACAGTCATGGAATATTTTGACCCATGAACTTTTTGTTACTTGGATGAATTAATACGAAATTTGGTATTAACTCCTAAACTTATTTCTGTTCAGAAATTTTGATGTATTAAAGATCATAGGGAAAACATGTTGAGCTCTCCAATTTTGAGTCCAAATTAAATCAACTATCTCTTGAGTGTCTACTTTGTAAAAGAAAGACACATAGCTCATAGTAGATTCCAGAGAGAAATAGAAATGTGTCTTGTTTTTAGCTCCATGTGTCAATATGGAAAAATGGGCAACAATTCAGAGGGAAACACTTTATTTTAAAGTGACCACAATGCAGCTTGATTTTAGGCTAGCCTTTTGTAACCTGATGCGTCCTCTTAAGTACTGAGTCAGGTGGACTCATCAGCATCAGTTTGCCCCTCATGTATTTCTGCTTCTCTTCTGAAAAGCTTGCCATCTCCTCAGCCCATCATCCACCTTCTACCTGGATGAACCACAGAAGAATGGCTTGTCCAAAGCCTGAAAGGTGAAGAAGCTCTTTTAAACTGAATGCAAGCATGGGAACAATTTGTGAGGAAGCTGCTGGGATTTCCATAGGAAAGTTATTCTTTTTTTTTAAACCTTTTTTAAAATTGATTATGTTTTTTGTATACTTCCACAAGTTTTTGAGTTCCCAGTTTTCACCCCATCTCACCCCTCCCCCACCCCAAGATGAATATCCCTTCCCCTAGTCTGTCCTCTATTCTGTCTCTTCCCCCCCCTTCTCTTATCCCCTTCCCCTTCTATTTTCCTGTAGGGCAGGATAGACTTCTGTACCCCATTTCCTGTATTTCTTATTTCCTAGTAACATGTGAAAACATTTTTTTAAACATATGTTTTTAAAACTTTAGGTTTCAGATTTCCTCTCTTCCTCTCTCCCCACCTACCTTCACTGAAAAGGCAAGCAACTCCATATAGGTTGTACATGTGCAGTTATGCAAAACACGTCCATAGTAGACATGTTGTAAAAAACTAACTCTATTTCCCTTAATCCTATCCTGCCCTCCCATTTATTCTATTCTTTCATTTGACCCTGTCCCTCCTCAGAAGTATTTACTTCTGATTACACCCTTTCCCAATCTGCCTTCCTCTCTATCATCCCCCTGCTCTCTTGTCCCCTTCTCCCCTGAATCTATGCCTCCACTTTGCTGCTATAATTCCATTTATTAGTCTTAATTTCATAATGTTTTTAACCCAGTTTTCACACCTTTGGTTCAGAATGGCATGTCTCTCCAGCAATTTAAGTGCCTGATACAAAGTCCAAAGTGTAAAGTCCTCCTTTTTTTCCTCTTGCTGCTGCTACTCCTATTGGCTGTTCTTTTTTTTCTTTTTCTTTTTCCTTTTTTTTTTAAACAAAGCTGCTTCTCCCCCTGTTTTCCTGTAGGGTAAGACAGATTTCCATACCCATTTGAATGTGTATGTTATTCCTTCCTGAAACCAAATCCTGTGAGAATAAGATTCACTCATTCCCTCTTACCTTCCCCTGTTTCCCCTCCACTGTAAGAGACTTTTCTGTTTTTTTTGTGAAAATAATTTACCCCATTCTACCTCTCCCTTTCTTCTTCTCCAAGTATAATCCTCCCTCATCCCTTAATTTTATTCTCCAGATAAGACCCCTTAATCTTCAACCCACCCTGTGCCCTCTACCTATCTATATATACATACATATAATTTTTTTCCTCCCACTACCCTAATACTGACACAGGACTCATGAGTTACAAATATCATCTTTCCATGCAGGAATGTAAACAGTTCAATCTTAATAAGTCTTTTATGATTTCTCTTTCCTGCTTACCTCTTCATGTTCCACTTCAGTCCTGTATTTGAAAGTCAAATTTTCTATTCAGCTCTGGTCTTTTCATCAAGAATGCTTGAAAGTCCTCTATTTCACTGAATGACGATTTTTTCCCCTGAAGGATTATACTCAGTTTTGCTGGGTAGGTGATTCTTGGTTGTAATCCTATCTCCTTTGCCCTCCGGAATATTATATTCCATGCCCTGCGGTCCTTTAATGTAGAAGCTGCTAAATCTTGTGTTATCCTGATTGTGTTTCCACAGTACTTGAATTGTTTCTTTCTGGCTGCTTGTAATATTTTCTCCTTACCTGGGAACTCTGGAATTTGGCTATAATATTCCTAGGAGTTTTCCTTTGGGGATCTCTTTCAGGAGATTCTTTCAGTTTCTATTTTGCCCTCTGGTTCTAAAATATCAGGGCAGTTTTCCTTGATAATGTCTTGAAAGATGATGTCTAGGCTCTTTTTTTGATCATGGCTTTCAGATAATTTTTAAATCCCTCTCTCCTGGATCTATTTTCCAGGTCAGTTGTTTTTCCAATGAGATATTTCACATGGTTTTCTAATTTTT